AAAAAAGCTCAAAGCGTTTCAAAATCTCCTACAAGGTTTTCTCAAGAATTCAAGACAATCCAAGACAAAAAGCATGGACATCTATTTCGACAGTCATGATGATCATCGCAAGACTGCTTTTGAAGAAGCTTATGCTGTGTTATTTGACAAGGAACCTGATCCAGTTATAGAGGATATTATAGCCAATGATATGACTAATGTTCTTTTCTTTATTAAGTCAAGTAGAAGAAAAGCAATCTTGATTCTTTGATAATGGGACCTTTTCACACTTAAATCTGAAATAGTTCTCATATTTCTATTCTTGAAGATCAAGTTGATCATATTTCACTTAGAATTGCATGCAATCAAATTCTTCTAGTTTGTGGAAATGATTTGCTTAACTTAAATCATAAAAAATTTGTTTGATGTTGATCTATTGGACGCCTTATTGACTTAGAGCATATAGCAATTTTTGAACTTAGATTATTTTTTTCTGTATTTGATAGAAAAACTCTACGTAGCATATTACTTTAGGAAAAACAATACTCACATAATAGCATATACAAGGTATTTAATTTAGGAGTTCTTTTGCTGACCACCATTGCACCGTCTTGCCCGACACATCTTTTTCGTTTCACTAAAGTTTGGGATATGAAAATGTCTAAGCCAAATGTTCAAACTTGTTGAGTTTGTCATGCCAAGCTCAAGCACTGCAAGTTGGACCATGTGAACTATCAAAAGCTCTTGTTAATGGCATCTAAGAAGTTCGCTTCTAGTATACCTTAGATACGTCACATTAGATCAGAGAGGGATAATATCTACTCAAAGATTTATGATGTTTACTACGTTTAGTTCGATATCCATCATGTTTTAACTTGCACATACACTTCACATCAAAATCGAGTTTCTAAAAAAAAAATTAAAACCGTGCTTGAGATGATCATAAACTTAGTACTTTATGCTCAATTACTGAAGTCACTTTGGAAGGAGCCTACAACACCGGCTGATTATATCATAAACCGGCTATCAACGTCCTTTCAGTGGTTGAAAGTCTTCATCCCGAATCTCAAACACCTTAGAGTCTTTGGATGTGTGGCTTTTGTACTACATACAATCAAGTTTGATAGGTTTTTGCTAGGTCTTTATCCGTTATCTTTATAATCAATGACACCAAGTCAAAAACCTGTTGTGTGTATGTTGTTGTTAATGATAAAGTATAGACCAGTAGAAACATAAGATTTAATGAGTGTGTCTTTAGATCCCAACCCGCTACAATCCTAAACTTGTTGATGCTATTGATATTTTACTTTTTGAGAAATTGAAGCATCAATCAAGGACCTGTTCAATCAAGTCTTCTTCCAAGAGTGTTCTATCCGCTAAGGGTACATTCTGCTCTTGTACCCATGTCTATTCAATTGGTACCTCTATCCATTTTTGGACCCACATGTTATGATTTATGAATATCAAAGGCGACTTCTTTTATTTATTCTGCCTCACCGCTCACACATATGTCAAATGAACCCACGGAAAAATGAATGATTTCACAACTCAACTTCTACGGTTGCTTGTCCCGACACACATAGAGCGACCAGTCTAGATCATACGGTAGAGGATCTGCCAATTAGTTGATCCATCATGCCCTGCTCCAGACGTCGTCCTACTAGCTAGAAGAACTACGTGAGCTAAAGTGACAAAATCTTTGAAAATACTATTGAATGTTATGAGGTTGAGCTCTACTACTACATGGAAAAATAGTTCACCTTTGACAAAACAATAAAGCTTCCTGAATGACACATGTCATGTCAATGGTTAATGAGCTAAACTTGAATGCCAAGAATAATATTTGGAGCTTGATCAAGCTATATCAAGGAGCAAAGGCGATAACATGCATGTAGGTGTTTCGGGTTAAAGTGATCAAGAATGGCTCTGCGTTCTGCCTCAATTTTTGTCTTGTAGTGAGAGTCTTCCAACAGAAGAAGAAAGGTAAGAACTACACGGCTCATGTAGTGAAGTGGTACATGGTAAAAAGTGTCTTTGACATTGCTAGTGCATGCGGGTGGTCAATTTGTCACCCGGATGTTAAAACTACTTTTTAAAATGGTCTTATTTAAAAGAATTTCTATGTTTAATTAATCATCTGCTTTATTAGGAAAGATTTAGAAGAATTTATATGTAAATTTAAGAAAGCACTTTACAATTTAAGACAAGTATCAAGGGCTTGGTACGATTGTATAGATTTATACTTAAGACTAATATGCTAGACACGTTTTAACTCAAATTGTAGCATCTATGTTTAAGTAAAGATTTGCTCATGATAATCCTAATGCTCAATGTAGACGACATGTACATAACAAGAAACGATTAGTTACAAATATTTGAGATTAAGTCAAATCTAATGCATCAATATGAAATGAATGGTTTAGGTGAGATTCAAAAATATTTAGTTATAGAGTTTTTATCATCACAAGAATTATTAATTTATCAAAACTTCTATTTCATCAAAGTTTTAAAGAATTTTAATATGCTCAATTGTAGGCCATCCACGTTACCAGTTGATGCTCATAAATGCTTGACAAAAAATTACCAGCACTTATTTTGTAGATACTACATTTCACAATAGCTTGTTGGTCAATTGCTTTGTGCTTTTAACTCCAGGTTTGATCTATGTTTTGATGTGGAAGAATTGTCCCTACTCATGCCATCACCCCAGGAGTTTCATTTCGAAATAAGCTTATTGACTTTGCAGTATGTCAATGATACTATAGAATATTGTTCAAATGAGTATACCCATTGCAAGTGCAAGAATACAAAGATGTGTGAAATGGTGCTCTTTTCAAAACACATTCAGTCTTGTCTATCAGTGCCTACGCTTTTACACTTTCTCGAGGAGTAGTATCGTGATGTTCTAAGAAATAAAATTTCATATCCATCTTCTCTACAAAGACCTAATATAAGACCTTTTCTTTATGCATAGGAGTCAATTTGGCTGTGGCAACTGTTGCATAAAATCAATCCAATCACAATGACATCAATGACTCTCTTGTGCGAAGACATTAATGTGATTTTTGCTCATTTTACTCTCATTTCATTGACTTACTCCACCACAATTCATTGTAACATTGAAAGTCGTATAAAACTCGCCAAAAATCCAGTCTTTCACGCAAAAAGTAAACAGATAGGTATCTAGCATCATTAGCGTCATTTCATCATGGAGAGGGTGGCTATGAGGAAGATCACAATTTGATTCATCTTCACAAATTCGAGCTAGCAGTTACTCTCACCAAGGCATTTTCTTGAATCACAAAATTTGGGAGCTTTACGTGAAGAATCTCTACTGACTACATTCTCTTGTCCTACCGTCTTTGTTGGACAAACCATTTGGCCACCTCTCTTGTCCTAAACGCCTTATGCAAGTTCCTTGGAAAGCCAATTACTTGAATTGCTGCCCACTTAAGTATACTCCTGGACTTTTGCCTATAGCTACAATACTTTCTAGTCAAAAGCATAAAATGTTCATCCAAAATGACTGGCTCACAAAGGTGTTGCTAGAATAAAAACACTGATTAGTAACTCCACCACACTATATGTACAAGTCAATATATTGAGTAAAGTAGACTGTCTAATCACGAGTAAGCGTTTCCAACATTTTCTCCATGATGATTTTAAGAACTCTCTACTTTTGTTCCATGTTAGTCCTCAGTCTTATATCATCTCAAGTCCTACATATACACTAGACGTTCTTCTAGAAAAACCGTTGCGTTTACCGGAACTGCCTTGCCTTGCATGCTAATACTTGACATTAAATTTCCATGTTGACCAATATTCCCGAGGCATAATTATCAGTCTATAGAATATTCACCTATTACCACGAAGTTCTGGTAAACCCAAACTCAAGTCAACGTTTGATACAAGAGTTGAGATAAAAAACCTTCCTTTCATAGGAGTCAAAACTAAGAAACATAAATCAAGAACGCAAAGTTCTTCAAAGACTTTTGGTAATGTCATGAAGTGATCTTCACGTTTGTAAAATTGTATCATAAGTCACATTAATATACCCCATGAAGTCGTACATATGTAGCCTTCTCAAAAACCACCTAACAGGGAAATGCCTTTTACATCTCTTTTCACCCTCATCCATTTTTCTTCATTTTTCTTTGAAAATGAAATCCTTAACAGTCCAACGGAATGACCTTTTGGCCTATCTCTAAGGGCAGGATCAACATATTCAAAGCTCTTCATAGAATTTCAATTGAGCCGTTGCAAATGAAACCGTTAAAGAGCTATTGAAATCGCTTGATGATAACTATGAGAATGTCTGCATACATGCAACAAAATCCGATTGAGGAAGTTAGTAGCTTTATTACTCCGACTTTAGAACATACCATAAACACAAATAGCGCGTTGGATGTCGTTCGCTTCCAAAAACAATTTCGTTCAGGTAGCATCAATCCAGAAGACACGGCATCCTCAAAACCTACAGTCCATTTTATTTCTCATACCAGTCACGTGGTTCAAAGCGACGTGCAGTACATCGGTGTACAGACTGCCTCGACAATTACTTTCCAACTTCCCATCACAATTTTCTGAATATAACCTGACTCAAAAAGCACATCAAAGAAACAGAAACGATTAGTTGCGTGTTCACGATCCTTGTACGGGTTGATGGAGTCGTCCCTTACTTTTTTCTATTGACTACTTGTCCCCGCGACCCCTGCATGTTTTCACCATTTACAAAAATGAATCTTGTCCAGCACCAATAAAACGTCATCTCCTTACAATGTTACCACGATTCTTATAACAGACCCACAATGGATTGACTGTTGTGATTTGGAGAGGTGACGCTCAAAGACAGAGAGCGTTCTCTCCTTCAGCTAAATTTTACTGGAGAAAGTTCTGAAGAATAGACCCTACCAGATGAAGTCGGGAGGCCCCACAGAGCGTGGCTTGTAAAGGGTTAGAGCTAGTCCTTCCGACTCACTCGCTTTGCTTCCATTCTTTACAAATTCTTGGCAAAGAACACTCAAAGACGTGCAATGTCCAATCCGAACGTACAATGACTGTTTCATTATCTCTCCCCCTAGATATTTTCAATGTACTTGGACTATAGCATCACTCCGTCGATCCTAGTGTATATATTTTAGACTAGGCCTTCCAGGAGCTTATTTTGGATTGTTCGCTTGATCCTGTGGGTCTTCGACAGATGTCCTGTAACACTTGTGGCCCTTTCTACAGATTTGAGCAGTATCCTCGTTGATTGTCTCGTAGTTTTCACAGCCCCTTTAAAACCAAGGCAGCTATCGCTCTCGAGAGCAGTGGATTGAATATCTGTAAGTTTTGATAGCAGTACTTGGCTATTGAACTTTAGAATGGAGCTGGATCAAGTCTAGAAATCGATCCCATAGTCATCTGAGTTAAGGTCCAAATTTCACATTTTTGGAGGAAATCCAGTCCAAAAATTGAAATTGATTTTGAGGCTCGACTCACTCCTCGTCCAGGAAATCAAGAGCAACATCGAGAGGTGATCGAACAGAGGGTCGATCGATGGCCGAGTCTACTCCACTTCTGAAGGCATCTGATTTGCCACTGAAGGAGATCCCTGGAAGCTATGGACCGGTTTTCTGGGGCGCGTTCAAAGATAAAATGGACTTCTACTGGAGAGAAGGAACTCCAAAGTTTTATGAAACCCGAAGGGACAAGTACAAAAGCACTGTCTACCGAACGAATGTGGCGCCAGGACCACCAGGATTTTCCAATCCGCAAGTGGTGATGCTGTTGGATCAGAAGAGCTATCCCATCCTCTTCGACGTCAGCAAAGTGGAAAAGAGAGATGTATTCACAGGGACTTACATGCCCAGCACCAAGTATAACGGGGGATACAGAATCCTGCCCTACTTAGACCCGTCCGAGGAGAAGCACACCAAGACCAAAGAGTTCTGTTTCGATGTGCTGAAATTGAGTGTCCCTCGTATACTTCCCTCGTTCCATTCTGCTATTTCCGAATGCTTCAATAGCTGGGAAGCTGCTCTGGCAAAATCAGGTAAAGTGAATTTCGCCACTGCTCTAACGCCGGCCACTTTCAAATTCAATGTCAAAGCTTTCATAGGACGCGATCCAACTGAGGCTGGCACCAACAGCTTAGGCACCTCGGGTCCGACTTATACACAGCTCTGGCAGTTCCCCCAGATTGCTCCTATCCTCGTCGTTCCAGTTCCTAAGATACTGATACCCTTGGCTGAGGTTGTGGTGCACACCTTCCCAATCCCGTTCCTCTTCGTGAAATACTTCTACGGGAAGCTGACCAAGTTTTTCCAAACTTACGCCACCGAGCTTCTGGACCTTGCGGAGAGTAAACACGGTCTCGGACGGGAGGAAGCTACCCACAATCTGCTGTTCTACACCTTATTCAACTCATGGGGAGGGATCAACATTTTCTTCCCGGGAATGCTGAAGAGACTCGGAGCCTTGAGCCCAGAGGAGCAGCTCGAGGTAGCGAACGATGTGAGAAAGGCCATCAGTGCGGAAGGAGGACTGACCCTGAAAGCCCTGAGTCAGATGACGCTGGTGACATCTCTGGTCTACGAAGCACTTCGCATCGACCCGCCGGTGCCGTTCCAGTACGCTCACGCGAAGATGGATTTGGTCATCGAGTCGCACGATTCTTCGTTCAGCGTGAAGAAGGGAGAGATGCTGGCAGGCTACATGCCTCTGGCATGCAAGGATCCCGTAGTCTTCAAGGAGCCCGACACGTTCCTCCCCAAGAGGTTCATGGGAGACGGCTCCAAGCTCTTGAAGTACGTTCTCTGGTCGAATGGGCCTCAAACAGAGGAGCCATCGACGAGCAATAAACACTGCGCAGGCAAGGACTTCATCCTCACCATGGGCCCACTGTTTGTCGCTGAGATTTACTCCAGATACGATTACATGCAGATCGACGCAGATGGCAACTTGACCATCTTGACGAAGAAGAGGATCCCGAGGCGTGCATGAGCTCGGTCGAATTCCTCGTGCTCGGAAATTCTTGTCATCTGTCACAAGACACGTTATCTTTGTTGGATTCCGGCTATGAAGCGCACAAACTCTCAAAAGATGATGATGTTGATCATCAGTATGCTTCAGCATGAGCTTGAAGGAGTAGTCTTCTCCAGTGATCGGAATTTCATCGACGTGTGTACTCTGGCTTTTTTTGCCTCGTGACATGTTCACATTTTTGTCGTTGTGAAGTCTTCAGAACAGCTAGAGTTGCGGAGCATGTACATGCCCCACGAGATCGAGACAAGACGGTACAGAAATCTACTGACTCGTCCCTCCATGATTGCGACGAGCTCCGCAGATCTAGCTCCACGAGCGTTGGTATCAACTGAACGACTTTGGCCCCGTCCAGTGTGACTGTACATATCTTTTCTTCGCCCTCCATGACCAAGATTAGAGCTGTAATTTCTTCGTCAGGATTCTCTTTGAATTAGTGTGTAAGGCCCTGGTTGAGTTCTGTAAGTAGTTGTATACCAATATGAATTGATGCTCGTCAGCAGCTTCGCCCAATTTTCAGAAATTGTATCTTCTGCAATTGTTCCATCTTTCATGACAACCGAGGTTATATAACTGACATGGATCACAATGTTTCCGACAACTCCATCAGATATGAGATGATGATTGCCATCCCCAGTTGTGTAAATGCGCAATATGAAAATTTAACTTTCTAACATCGCAGTTGTGCGGGCATTTTTAACATGTACACTTGAATTCCAAATGCTGGAACAACGCATTTGAAACTATAGCTTCATCTAAAAAATGTAGAGTAACGACTCTAAATGTTGAAGTACGTTTAATTATCCCCATAGAACACAAGTGTATCACATATGTCACCAATTTAGCAGTAAAACTTAAATTGGAGAAACCATAAGAAAATGTGAAGAAGGAATACAAGATATCAAGAAGTGGGCATTATGAGACTTGCCATCAGGTAAGTAACCCTCCAAGTCAGCAATTCTTGATTTATTGCCTGGATAAATAAATAATGTCATTGATGTGCAAATCCAAGGTGATGATACTCAACACACATGAACACCTGAGGTCCCACAAACAAACATGCTACATAGAGATATGGCAGTAACATAACACATCTCACGCTCGGAAAAAAGTTTCAAAAGTTTAATGTATTAAATTAGATGTATACATGGTTAAAAGAAATTCCCACAAGAATGTGTAGCAATAAAAATGAACATAATGATGTTGAAGTTAAAAAAAATACATCGATCACGTACATAATTAGATTTTTTCAGTATACACATTTTTAATTTATATTATATACAGTCCAAACATATCTACTTACATTTATATTTTTGAACTAGTTTGGATAATTTCATAATTTTAAAAGATATGATTTATGTATGTAATAATGAATTAATAATAGACATATATAAATTAAAAGGTTTTAAAAATATTTTGAAAATTTCTAATTCAAGCTAAGAATAAGAAGTGAGAGAAGTATATATAGAGATTACAGATTACTAAAAAGCTTACTCTCTTGAACCTCAAGCGACACGAAGAACAAAGGACATAGATCTTCAGATATCTATGATACTCATGATGTCAAACTGTGGGGATAGAATATAAAATAAATATAAGAACTGGCAGGTTTTGAAAGGTTGAACGGAAGGGGGGAATAGTTGACTCGTTCAACATCAACGAACCTATCTTGATGAACCGCAGGCGATGAGCGATCAGATTTCTTGAGACATGCAGATGTCGTAAAGTCGAGTATTATAGAGAAAAAGTGGTTCCGGATGTTGCCTTTCAAATTAATGCATCACTCGAGCACGGTGGTTTTTGTTTTTATTTATTAAAATCTCTTTTTTTAGAAAAACTGTTATCCAGTTAAGCAGTGAAGCTCAGCTTCTTAGGCCAACAAGTCATGAGGCTTGAGTGAAGTAAATTTTGTTCTACGAAAACAAACACAAAAATTGGATCGATATCAAGAACACGATTGAGGTTGTGACTGAAAAAATATTTTAATAGTCAATTTACAGCTTTAAATCTATATAATTCAGTCCAAACATGAAGTGCTTCAAGAGAGGTTGATAAAAAATATCAACGAGAAGATGATAGTATTTACTTTTGAATGAGACCTTCGATTAATAAGTCTATCATTGCAAAGAGACTTGGCAGTTATCATAATTCAGTATTTGATGACATAATCTAGGAATCTTGAAACTACAAAAAAAACAGTATAAATCCAAGAAAAGTCAATGCTCAAGAATAGATTAAATGTGGAGATTGTATTGACAAATCTGAAGTTGAGCTCAAAAAATAGAACAATGGTTTAAATCTATTGTGATCATATGGCTAAGAATCATGTAATTAGATGAAGAGCTAGATAGGTCTATGAAAATTATTCAAAGAAGAAAAAATTTTAAATATTTGAATAATGATAATGAGAATGGAGTAAATAATAAATCATAGTGAATAAAATCTTGACATAATTAGTTGATGAAAAGAAATATATAAAGATTACTAAAAAAAATTTACTCATTGTGTTAACAAAATAGTGTTATATGGCAAGATGAAAAAAATAATTGTGCTTGCATCACAACATGCCTTGCTATCTCAATTAAAACAATTAAACCTAGATTTTTATATACCAATACATGTGTATGTTTCTCAAATTTTTTTTATGTGAAATAATATAATAGTATCATGATGAAAGCATTAAGGATTATTTATTTATCATGAAACCTAGATTATCTAGATATCAATACATGTGTGTGACTATAATAGTTTTCTAATAAAATATGAAGTAATATAGTATTATCATCATTAGAGCATTAATAATCATCTCATTTGCTTTAGCTAAATATATTTTGTGATTCTTTTAAGTAAACATGAATAAATTTCAAGCATATTCATCACACATAATAAAATTTAAAAATAACAAATCTCATTAAGTTCAACATCATATGATTTTTAGATTTTACTCTAACAATCATAATGACAATGATACCTTTTTTATGTAAACATAAAACACAAGAATCATAAATGACATACTCAACAAACGAAGCTCTCAACACAAGAGACCAGCATATAACGTGGTTCACCCTCAAGAACTACGTCCACGGGAAAATAACATTGTGATAATGTAATGTGCATACTATCTGGTATTATACAGATCCTGGATATATATATACCCAACACCTGAGACCAATCTCAGTTATAAATAGCTACAAATGAGATTATTCTTTAACCAGAGTTAATTACAACAATCTCAACCTTAACTCGTGTTAAGGAATCTTAGTAAACTCTAAAATCTATATTATTATTTCCATAACATGATACTGTAATAACATACAGAATCAACATAACAAAATACTCTCTAACTTATGTTAAGGAATCTCAATAATTTCTCTTAACTTTATTACTATTCCCATAATATACAAGTAATATATAGTTCCGGTTATAAATATCCAACATCGGCGACACATCTCAACTATAAATAGTTACACATGAGGTTATTTCTTAATCGGAGTTAACCTCAACATTTTAATGCTAGCAATAAAGTGAACATTTAATTCATTGATTTTTTTTATCTAGATGTCATATGTGCATTTTTTGAACAAATAGTTTTGGTACTTTAAGAGTAAAATATTGAACATGAATATTTTATTTTTTTTCCGAAAAAAGTGAAAGCAGGATCTATAATAGGTTATATGATAATAAGTTTTTGCATGTAAAATTCCAAAATGTATTTCTAAATTTTGAATTTATCTCTTTATAGAAAAAAATTTAATTTTTTCAATTGGTAAAAAATAAAATGCATATTTAGAATACACTTATGACATTTGACAAGATAAAATATGGTTTATCACTTTTGTGCATTAGCATGTATGGTGATTTTTTGGATATGCTTATGCCATTTCATTTTGACTCAATGCAATAGCCTATTTGGTTATTGTTTGCAGATTTTCAGCCAAAAATGTAATTTTTTTCAGTGAATTTTATTCTTTTTGCTCACTTAGCAGTTTAATCTCTCATATCTCAGGACGGAAATCTATTAGGGTATATAAAATAAAAGAGAAAAAAATAAAATTTATTATATTTAATCACATATATTCAATGTTTCAGAATAATTCACAAAATTATAAATCTAATAAGTTGGAAAATTAGATTTTTTAATTTTTTGAATGCTTTTTTTTAATATGAGATTCAAATTATACTTTATTATTACTTATAAAAATTGATCATCAATATTTAAATTTTTTGTAAATCAAATCACTTAAATGCATTCTATGAATGTAAAACGTTTTTTTTCAAACACATTTCAGATAATATTGATTGAAAGAACGTTTTTCTAGAATAATATTTCATGAATATATATATATATATATACATGTGAATGATGAAGATCATATTTTCCGGAATTTCATAAATTTGTTCACAAAATCTCTGAGAATATATATATAAAACGAATACTAAATAAAGACTTTCAACTAACTGCACAGAGGGGCGAAGCGATCAAGCAGCATGGCTGCTTGATTGGCGAAGAAATAATCTACGTTTAGTCATAACGCGAAGCGCGCTCAATTCAGAAATCATATTATAAGCTGCGGGGATTACTATGTACGGGTGGACTTTCAACGTAAAGATGAGATATGATTATCAAGTATCAAGAAGGCTATAATAAGATTTGGGATTTTAGGAAGATTACAGCTTACTTAATGGATTGGAGAAACTGCGAAAGAAATTCTCTTTACCACAAAGTATGTAAATAACTTTGGATATACCTTTTTTTTTGGAAGATGTATTTAAAATTTTTTGTTCCGAACAACACACATTAACCAAGTAATAGAGAAACGGATTTATACATTTCTTTAAATGATTTCATAAATGAAAATCAGCTGAAAAGAATGAAAGCGTCAAAGAGTAAAAAGAAGCAGGTAAAATATGAGCATCATACTAATTGACCATACTCAAAACATCTTAAACATTAATAAAATGGTATAGAAGCCCAACAGACTGTCAACTAGGTAAGTGGTTTTTTTGCATACAAGAACATGTATTTGTACTTTACATTAAGCAATACAAAATTTTTCTTCAAAATAGTTTTCTTGAATAAAAAAGGTTTGAATATTTTTCCATATTGTTACGAAATTATTAAATTATTTCTATGAAAATCAATACTGGGAAGAGTGTAAGTTTTTTTTAAAAATATCTATTTCACATCTAGAAACAAAAGTAATATCGTATTTTAGTAGTTATTATTATATTATAGGTTATGCTAATATGAGTAATAACGTACTATTCTAACATTAGTTTAAAGCTGGTAAATAGTTCTGTTAATATCATAAATGAGCACATCAGATTATATAAATTACTTTACTTTACTTCGTTAATTATTCGACCAAAACCATCATGACACAAAAGCGGATAATGTGAAACTCATAACCAAGCTGTTAATTAACAGTTCTGTCTAAATATACTTTCCACACCCTACTACTTGCAGCTTCTCTGCATACAATGAGGTGACAGAAAAGTGCAGAGTATATCTTGGGCCATGAAGTCCAGATAGACTATTCTCACAATGGGGGCTTCAGGACTGTCTCCCATTTGTTCAGTCATCTCGTTTCACTCTGTTTCAGCACCGCATCGACGTCGATGGCTGGAGGCTAAATTGCAGACGCACGTTCTTCAATGTCGAAATGGAGCTTATTTGAGGCCGGAGAACGAATAGCAAACAAAAAAATATGGTTGGAACGGGAAACAGGTTTAGAATATAGTGGTGGTTCCAATCCCACCTCACATGGACAATGATAACCGATTACGAGGACATCGAGGTTGCCAACAACACTACATTCACACCTGACCGAACAACCACAAGAACTTCATGCTCGTGGAATCAGGACCTCAACAACATTCTCTTCGAAACATACTCCGTCGGCTGTGCTCGGGTTACTGATTGACTCACTGCCCTCCCTTGGCAAGACCCTGGACAAAAGGCCTGGTCCTAAAACACGACACGTGGAGAGCAAGAGCAACTCGCCGCGCAACCTTTTGGAATTGAAGTCTGCGGAATATCGGGGCATGATAGCGCCGTCACGATCGTGCTCGAGTGCAGCTGTCCACTGACGGACCGGATAGGATGTCGATCAAGCGTGGTCTTCCTGCGATCGCTAAAGAAGCTCATATCTTCATAAATAAAGTTGAGATGACTCTGCGGGATCGAATCAAGCATCTTTAAGCCGAATCTTAATTCTAGATCAAATTTCAGTGTGATAGTGAAACACTCGTCATTGCTACTGAGACGAGACATAGGAAGTCCAGGGCGTCGAACTCTGGGTACCAGTCGGTTCTCGTTTGACCTCACTGTGATCTTCACGTACTTCCCGGCGATGACCCATAACATCGCAGACTCCGTTGAATCTCACTGAAGATTCAATTAATCTGAACAAATTGTACCGACTCTCTGCCTTCGTGATTCCATAAAGAATTTCAGTCCGAACTAGAGCGTTCGAAAATGAAACTTCGAATGTGGAGCTGGTCGTTGTTTGCTTTGACAGTTGCATTTCTTAGACCCTTGCATTGCTTCAAACGCGGATGGAGCATTTTTAGCGGAAAGTTATCTCGCGTATGTTTCATTTCATGTCTCATGGGGTTCTATTGTCCAAATGCCAGGACAAATGGTCTGCTACTCACGAGAAATCGCTGAAATCAGCGAGAGAGATGGAAATGTCAACGTTGCACCATGCACTTTGCAGGGGTTTCCGACACTATTCAAGAGAGTAACCAGTGAGGTGTGACTTGGTTCCAACGCCATTGGAAGCATGATGGAGGCTACAGATGGGAACATATAAATAGACGTACTAAAATAGCCACGTATCAGTAGAGATATTATACGGGCTGCCATGTTCGGGAAGAAGGAACAGAATAGCAAAATGAAGTCAAAGAACTTCCGAAATTGGCGGTGCGCGAAATTTCCGGCAGGAAATAATCAAACGAGTATGGAGACGGGTTACGGGCGTTTGGTTGCAGGAGATCGTGGTTCCGCGGAAAGTTATCACTACAAAGTTTCCACGTTCTTTTCAGCTGATCTCTACCATGTACGAGTTTGACAAGGCGACACAGGTGCCAATGCACAGCCCGCCGCGTGCGAGCACAGAACGAGGATCATAATCTCAAAGTACAAAACATCCTCTCACTATACAGAGTTATTTGTTGCAACTTACGACTGCTTGGTACGAATCTAGAACGCCGAAAATTGGCTTGATCCTGATGAAGAAGTTGGCAGGGGTTGGAACATATCTAGATAACTGATGAATATACTTGTCGTTGATATTCTCTGCAAACAATTCGAAAATAAGATTTCGTGTAAGTCTAATGAAGGAGAGTCGGAGAAGAGGACAACTGTCAAACTAAGGAGAAATAAACTCTCAACATAGAGTCTTAAGCTTTCGATTTGTAACTCAATCTGGTGCCATATACTTGATCGGAACGTTGGGCTGTCGAACTTGCAGTGCGTTCTTTTGTAAGAACTGAACCGTTACATTCGAGTAGCAGGAATGCCATATTCCGTTTGCCCATTACTCGTTTAGTTGGATCGAGACAGCGAGCGAGTTATACCATCTAGACGTAGACGAATGAACCCACTTTGCTATGATGAGATTCAGTGATACGGTTCAGATTTCACTGGCAGTCCAGTTAGTTTTCAAGAGAACTCAATATACATACTCCTGGATTGATCGTGAATAACGACCATACCACGATCAGTTGATCTTCTTAACTCGATCTTAAAGTGCTGGAGGTATTTCTATCCTCATGCAGCTTTTGATATGTTAAATCTGGCCTGAATAGTGTTTAGATAACAGTCAGATGGTCTGCACTTGAATTGCCCATATGACCTACAGCTGATTTAGTTTAGATTAGCCCAAACGATGAGGATAGGGCTAATGTAAACTCCAGTCAAGTGACACCGATATCCATTTCCAGCAACTCATCAGATCAGCTCATAAGAATTCAGGAGAATTTCAGTTGACCAAAAAGTTTTCGAACACCGAATGACAATTTCCAATATGTACAAGTACAAATAATTTCGATACAAATGCAATTCTAAGTCACGAAGAAGTTTCCTCGGGATGTACAAACTGCTTTCTCGAAATGAACATCTACTCGAATTTCAACCTGATAGTAGCAGCTAAGGCAGAGAGAAGACTGACTGACAGTTCTCAGAGCGCACATTTAGTCTCCGTGTGGTAAAACACGAAAGTTGATTGGACCTTTGAAGAACCAGACATGCTGAGAGTGCATCTGGCCGTCGAAATGGGTGGTTTCGGGGTCCGGTTTAGAATCGAATTCTCCATCGTCGACCAATCACTCACTCGCAGCCTCCTCCCGAACTTCGGACACCGGAAGCGAGACTCGATTATTGAGGATTCAAAAAATAGTTCACATTACTGCAGACGAATCAATCCAAATTGTCTGGCCGAAATCCTGCTGACTTTAAATTTTCTTAAGCTTGGCCCGTACATTGAAGGGTCGTAGGATCCCACATCCAGGGCACGAGGAACTTCATGTTTTTAGCACCGACGACGTTGTAGCTGGCGCCCGTGGAATTATCGACCTGCAACTCTCCGGGATAGCCAGGGAAGGCTCCCTTGCCATAAATTCCTTGGCAAACGCCGGAAGCCTCGAGTCCATCAGCCTGGAAGAAAGCGTTTCCGTAAGGATTCGTTCCCATACCGGCAAGAAGGTTGGCGATGGTGATGATCATTCCATCGATTCCAGCATCACCGTTGGGTGCAATGAGAGCCTTGGTCTGGAATCCTCCCGCGGCGTAAGGCCAGCTGCAGAATTCGGGGCACTGCTTGGACGGGTTTCCGACCCATCCGTAAGGCACCATCTGAGACTTGGTGGCGTCCGAGGGGAAGGTGTAGAAGTGGGTGCCGCAGACGCTCATGCAGAATCTCTCGACCAGCACGTCGTCGGACGTCAGAACCAGGTACAGCGAGCGGGCGTCGGCACCGAATTTCTTCATGGACTTGATCACGAGGCTCTGGATGTCGTTCTGGGTGATATCCTTGCCCAAAGAGTATCGGTCCGACATCTCCCCAGCCAGGACGATGCTCTTAGCTACGGGAGAGTTGTACAAGTCCACGTAATTGCGGGTGATCTTCCACCACTTGCCCACGGTCGCCCTCTTGTCGCGGCTCGTGCCGGCCCAGAACGACTTGAAGAAGGTGTTCAGAGTCGCCCTCTGCTTCTTCGAGAACGTCCCGTAGTAGACGACGAACAGCTTGATCTGGTCTCCCTTGCCGGACATGACCGGCCCGAAGTGGTAATCCAAAATCACCGTCGGCTCAGCGACCAGCCCAAATCCTCCAGGCGTAACCAGATGCTTGACTCTGGCCTCGGGGTCCTCTTTCGGGTGCATGAAGGCTGTGGGATGCGTCGTCGGATTGGGAGCAGCCTGCGAGGCACGCATCGCCGTGCACGCCATCAAGACCAACCACACCGTCAAGACCGTCATGGACTTCATCTCTACCATCGTTGCGAACCAGAAAATCTAACTCACACTACTACGTCTCTATCCAAGCCGAGACCAGAAATGTACAGCGAGTGATTACGCTGATCACTCGATAACACACAACAATTTTTTATAGAAAAATACGATAAACAGCGAACTGGTTATGGTTCTCCTCGAGTTTTGAACCAGTTCTGTCGATCTCAAAGAATTGGAGAAGAATAAGAAGAAGATGAAGAAGAAAAGAGAAGAGGAGAAGAGAAGGAAGACTGAAGTGAAGAAGAGATGCCTCAAAGGCTTCAGAGCATGAGTGACGACTCAAGACTGACTAGAGAGAGATAGTTAAGTTTGGAGTTCTGGGGAAGAGTGCACGAGCTTTATAGAGCCAGCAGGAGGAGGGCGACTGTTATTGCACGTACATGTCGACTAGGCATAGGCATGGCCCGACGATCGACTATGCACTGAATGCTCGCGAGCCGCTGCCGTTGCTGCCTCGACACAGATAGATGTCTTGATGAGCCTTTTCAGGACGACGAGCTCCCGACGCCAAGGGAGGATCGTTGACCGCCATCCAGGTGGTGGACGACGATGAGTGAGTGAGGCAGCGAGCGAACAAGCGAGCGAGTTAGTGCTCATACATCAGCGACTGTGCTTGGCAAAAGCGTTCCGCTGAGCGGGGCTCCTGTACAGAAAATCGTTTATAATTAGCCTCCAGTCTAAGTTTGCAGGCACTAAAAAAATGCTGCTGCAGCCGGAAAAGGAACGGGGCGATCGGGTCGGGGTCCGCACGTTCTCGAGGTCGAAACTCGCCATCTCCGAGTCCGACTTCCATCATGCGAGCGAGCGAGCCTCCATGTCGCCAACGGCGACCGTGGTGCGCTGGGGGCAACTGGGGCAACTGTACAGTACGCTCTAAAGCCCCGCCCTTCTGCCGGGACTGTGCAGAGCGATGCATGCCCTTGCCAGGGTGGTGGCCGGGGTTACGTAATCTGCTCGGGCTTGCTTTCTTAAATTGGCTGCAGGTTAAGAGCCGAGCCTAAATTGGCCCAGTCCCGGATCCGGTTCAGGTGCCTGATTGCAGACAGTCCCTCCGTCTGCTTCTCTTTCCCGCTTTGCCAATCTCTCCCTCTCCGTGATGTAATGGGCAATAGGAGCTTGGTGCGATGCTGTGATTTTCATTGTAGCTCTGCGGTTGACAATGGGAACAACAGTGGCTGGTCCAATTGAGCGCGGTAGGGTCGTCCCACACCAGGTGGCCGCATCAGCATCAGCGATCGAGCGCAGTCGCCAGGCGCCGATGGATAGACCTTCTGGACGGGCGCTTGCGTGCAAGAGGTCACTAGCGCAAACATGATTGAGGAAATGGCGGAGTTTGCACTGCTGCCGATCTGAGCCGGAGCTGACTTGCCTTTGGAAAAAAGGGTCAAAGCTGGAGGGATTCTTGTTATTAGATTCAGAGGGATTGCGCACTTGCATCAGACGATTCGAGGTAATTGCCTGCGTGCATGACTGCGCTGTAAAAGCACCTGGCGCTGGACTTACACGAAGTGCGCGCACCGAATTCCGAGTGCGTGTTTCGACTCGCCCGTGGAGGACACTCGAGATCCCCAACCCTAATCCTCCCGACATACAAAATTCACTTCATAAGAATAAATTCGTCTTTAATTTCAATGTTATGCCGCTCGCTAGAAAACCAATTGATTTCTGATCGTGGACACGCGACCTCGCAGTCCATCATCTTCGACATCGATGGGCTTCCTCGTAAGCAGAACTATTACTTGTTTTTTATCTCAAACACCACGCACTGGCCCCAGCAAGCCAGGAGTTTAGGGTCGGTAAGACGTCGATAGAAGTGCTGCACAATGCAAATCATCGTCGAGAAAGAATGACAGCGAGCTGAATAACACATTGTCATGTCAGAGAATATGACAATGCGGTTTCAGTTCGCTGTCATTCTTTCTCTGACAGAACTCCGGTTGTCACTTTTGTCATTTGACTGCTGCTGGAGAGATGAAGATATGGCGAGAATCTTTTGCATCCATACGAACAGTGGAGATCTGGATCTGTTAGGTGAAAAGCGAAATTGGGCTCGGTGACGTTCGAGTCAAGAACTTTCGTGCCGTGTTAGGATCCGCATGTCACTTCATGGAGGTATATTCGAAAGTGTTTCAGTGATACTAGAAGTTGGTAAACTGGTACAAATTCACTATTTGGCTTTGCGAATAGTAAACCGCTTGATTGCTCCTAAAGTAGATCGCTTGCGATGGCTACTTAACTCAGACTTCTGTTTCTATGGACCATGTTCTCTGCCGCGATCGGTCGATCGATCGCTATCGTTGCAAATCGTCCCACTGAAGCTTCTTCGAGCACACGAAAGCATATTTTCGGGTCACCAATTTTCCGCAGCAGCTCGCACAGTGACAACCCTTGGGCTCAAACGTTATGGAGACCACTATGAACTGTGTCGAGCACCGTGAATGGCCGATGAGCCGATGAACATGATTGGTTTTTTTATAAAGCTGATTTTATTTTATTCTGTTCTCGGCCGCAAACTGGAAAGATGGAAAAAAATTAATTAATTAATCTCAGCTGCCACTGCAATACAGAGTAGCGGGACGATTGGGGATTGGAGGATCTCTTTATCTGAAACTACAGTCTTGAGGGAATTCATTACATGCTTAATAATTGAATACAACAGGCTTAAAGTTCTGAATTACATGCTCCGGGTCATGTTACCATGGAGCCTACAAAGCTAGGACCGACCGAGCAGAGCACGATCATGAGGAATCTGTATGCATGAAATGAATATCATCATGAGAACCTGCCAGTTGCATGGACTTCACATGCCAGAATGAAACAGGACTCATCTGATCATGAGAAACATAAAGATTTAGGCAACTGGAGATGGGAGGAGACATACTTGAGGCGTAGCACATCATCGGAGCTTCTAGTTGCTGCTGGCTATGATGGCAGTATCAGATCTAACCTCCTCAATTTGTGCAACTGCTTGCAGCCAGTTCAGTTGTTTGGAAATTCTTGGCCTCTCGCATAAGTGAGAATACTTTTGCAGACATGCTGTCATCAACAAGTTCCAGCTGCTGTTACTAACTCTGATAGACCTAACCTGGCAACTTGAGGAAGGTTCATGGGTATGAGCGAGAAGCTAGAATTCCACAAGCAAGACTCCAAATATTTCATCATGATCACTCAGTAGATCGTCTAAACATTAACTGTTTTGTTACTTTGCCGAGAAGATCTGTCTTCCATGAGCCCTCGTACAAGGAACTTTTATTCGTGTGGAGGTCACGCCGCCATAGACTTTGGACCGTCAACTCTAAAACTCTGGCCGGAATCCATGGCACGAGAATGGAATATTTAATTCCAAAATACAGAAATCGGTGACCATGAGTGGGCTAGACTAGCCTCGATACGGGCCTGATACATGAGTACGTTTAAGGTTAGTCCTATCTTCAAGTGCTCGGACCAGAACTGCTAGAATCAAGCGTAGCAGCAGGGAAAAGGCTGCAAAATTCAACTGGATTTGCTGACCGTCAAGACCGAGTACTGCAGTCCGTCCCCACGTCCATAGGAATTTCCAGACATTGCCTTGCTGCAGCCACATGCAGCCACAAGGCAATACTTGCACCTCCATAAACCACGGTTGCATTGAAGGGAAGACGTAGAAGTGAGTGTAGCGTAAGCTCATCACACCAAGTCCATGTCAGAAGGTACTAGGGACATTCTAACTAGAGTCCCTTGAGAGAGTCCTTGGCATTTTGAGGAAATTCCTGTTTGGTCAATCTTTTGCATAGTTGACTCCCGTCTTTGAAGCAAAGATGTCTCGATGCACTCACTATCTGAGATCAAGAGTAAAGTATGGCAGCAATGATTTTAAGCTGGAGTGAACGTGAACTTTTGTTTGAAATTGAATCAATGTCCAACTCGACATCAAAATCTAATCTCAAATTTCTTTCGCTGCTCAGTGACATATCTCTAGTTTCAGTGTCTTCTTAGTCTGGAGATTTCATTCTTACTTATCATCTCAAACAAATAGCAATCGTGCCAAACTGTCCAAGGTAGACATCAAAAAATTCATATTCGATCTGAATTTCAAGGCGAGAGGATTTGTGGCTCTTTCTTGGATTTATATTTAGCTGCTCAGGATTGAATGCAGAGGTGTCAGCTAAAATGAAATCCAAAATGTGATCGCTGCCAGTTCTCACGAACTAGTAGTATCCTGTGCAGCTGCAGAAAATGATGTAGCTCGGAAATACTGTTTGCCTGTTCTTTATCACCATCCGTTTCCCTCATGCGTTCCATACTTTCATCAGTATCTATATGCGTAGAGCTAACTGACTGAATTAACTAGCAAGAGCTTTCTAATGTCCTATTGTTCCGTGACACGAGAGGCTCATCGTTCAGATTGGCCCGTTCTACACTAGGATGTTCGGTCGATAGATAGATCGCACTGGGTCTTTGCAATTGATGATAGCACGGCGAGAGGTAAGCAACAGTGGAAGGAAGACCTGCATTTCGTCTGGGAACATATGAAACCATTTCTCCGTAATTTGCATTCAATCCCATTTGAAAATCTAGATGATTGGACTCACCGTCGATGGAATTTAGTGATTTTTCCTCGCAAGTGTTTAGGCGTTCAAATTACTTGATAAGGAAGATGCGTGATGCAGCCCCTGTGGTGTGAGTAAACCATCTTCCAGTGTATTTTCAGTAGTGACCTTCATTTGACATATTTTACCACGCCACCAAGCACCTGAATGGGGTATGGTGATTGAGCAGGACTAACCTGCCAGCGGGATTGCTCCTGTTCATTGACAAGAAGCCGTATAACCTGACAGTCACCAGCTTGGTGCAACGATGATGAATGAAAATTTTTGCAATGTGCTCCAATCAAAGGTATGAGATATTTCCGGTCGCAAAGGTTGCATGTATGCAAAGAGACTATGAAGCGAGTAAGAGCTGAGACCTTGGAATTGAAAAACCGTGATCTCCGATAGCCTCAGCAGGCATGTAGAATGCCAAATTTAAGTGATCGCAACTTTAATCTGATTAGTGCAGCCAATATGGAGTGCGAGCTTGGTTCGAATCACCGAGAATGGGAGTGTGCAAAAATCCTCACGAATCAATTTTCAGCAAATCAAAGTTCCAACTCTAGCATGATTGAATTGGGTGACTATGAAAGCGAAATTATATATTCTGATAAAAATGAATCCGGTAAACTGCGTATTTTGCGACTGCGAATCGTAACAAAAGACCATACAATATCCTAGTGACTTACCTTAATATTATCATCCTAACTTTGATATCTTTTCGAAAATCTCATACTGGACTTTAGACTTACTTTCGGCATATTAGCTGGATACTCGGAGTAATGTTATGTTTGAGACCTAATCTTTATACTTCCTAAAACGAAAAAGTAGCAAAAAGATTTTAGAGAAGTAATCGGAGGGGCAACATACGGAGTCGGACGCAGCCTTAGCCCTCACAGCTCATACTCCCGTGACCCTTTAAGCACACTACCTTGACAGACATATGGCTTCCTTCTTTCAGGAGGTTCTTATGAGGTAGGTATTCTAATACTCAGAAGAGCCTCCTATGGTAGATGAGACACATACTTCACCCATGGGGGAATGGTGAACACTATAGACGCTGTCACTACTGGCCCTTTGGTGAGAACTAAGTTAGACCCTATTTATGAACCGTCTGTCATGCATTAACCTTCATTGTACATAGAAAGGGGCACTCCTTAGTTCCACTAGCCATATTTTTTGTTTTCTAGACCCTCGTAATTATGTATCATCAGGTCGCATACAAAGAGAGGGAAGAAGCATTACCATCTTGCAGAAAATGCGTGTTGTTGCTTAACTTCAATCAAAAGAAAGAAGTGGATGTACAGAATCACTTTAACGCCACGTTTAAGCATTGAAATTTTCCTTCGCTTTGCGTCCTAAACCTGCTATCCAAGAGTTTTATATGTGTAGGTATTACTTCAATGATCCCATCGGTTACTTGAGCTTTTGACTTGCTAGGTTTCCCTTAGTAACCTTGTGTAATTTTTTATGATGAGACTCTAAATTCTGTTTGATAAATAATAAACAACGACTTAGTGATCGCAATGATACGGATTAAATGTGATCTAAAAAGAGCCAATCTGAGTTCGGAGAGAGAGGCTAACGTCCAGAGCTGGAAATCTTCTGTACAGCTCCTTGGCTGAAGATCACAGTGGCACACAATCTCGAAGGGAGAAAGCGCTGTAGAAACTGTAGTCTTATAAGTCTTTAGCTAATGAGCTCGTTGCCAGCTCATAAATTTGTGTTTTAGATAGTCATCTGGTA